CTCTCTGGGCGCAGAAGTATTGCAGCAGGTTGACTTAAAAGGGAGGATACCGTGTATTAACTGGAAGTGGCATTGTCGGAGGGAGACAGTGTCTCCATTGGTGCAGGTAGTAAGTTGAAGCAGAAAAGATGATTCTCGAAATAGGTTTTTCAGATATTGGATTAGCTGATTTCTGAAAATTATAAACTAAACTTAACAAGCAGTTGGTTTTAAAGTAATTTAAAATTAGCCAGAATGTGCAGTTGTAATATAGAAGGCCATCACCTAAGAGAAAGGCAGTATTTGGAAAGACTGTATACAATTCCACAGCTGACTGCAGTAATCCCATGGACAGCAACAGAATTTGTGGTTTTGTATTAGCAATGGAAAGGAAAGTAAACTAAAAAAAAACCTCTTCCAAGAGATGTCTCAGTTTTCATATCTGAACGAAAGCTTATCATCAGCTGTAATATGGTGAAAAATGCACCAATGGTGTGTCAAAAATATTCTAGCATCCCACTAGATCCTTCTACAAAGAAATACTGTGATGATAAGGCTTGCTTCTTCTTTTGCTTATTTTACTGACATTTTGAGATAAGCAACAGGAAAAGAAACAACATCAGACTGATTTTACGTTCTGCTGCCCATTGTCATTAGACCAGTTGCATCTCTAAAATTGTTATAAAGTCCCTCTTGGTTTACAGTGAGGGTGCACTCAGGGAGGAAGCAGCATAGAATGCTGTCTGTGTGGAGGAGGGCAGGCATCAATATACACCAACACCAACTGTTGTTCCGCTACTGACGCTGTTGGCCAATCCTAAAGGACTTAACTGCTAGACTGGTCCTCCCAATTTACCTGTTACAGATCCATATGTCCATGATAAGATTGGAAGGGGTGACCTGTATACAGTCATTGCTGCGATGAAATCCTGCATTCTATCGAAGGTACTGTCTATCATGCACTACCACTGTGTTAAATGGGATTGTTTTAGAAAAGATCTAGCAACTCTAGACATGAGGCACTGCGTGTGCCATCAGCAGCAAAATCATCTTCAAAACACATTCTGTGGCTGTCTGCATATCCCCCACTTTAGCATTATGACCAAACCTGGAGATCACTCTGATTCAATGAAGAATGCAGGGCAGCATGCCAGGAACAGCACTGGGCATATCTAAAATTTAGATGTCAAATGTCAACCCGGATGACTTGCAAGGAATGAAAGCTGCATCCGAGAGACAGATCTAAACCATCCCACGACCAAGGGATCAGATCTAAACTCTGCACTCCTGTTGCATTCAGCCTTGAATACTGGTGGACAAATGAACAACTCACTGGATGCTGTGTTGCCACAAACATTCTCATCCTCAATGATGGAGGCGCCCAGCACTTCAGTATAAATGACAAGACTGAAGTATCTGCATCCATCTCCAATTGAAAGTGCCAAGTGGATCATCTCAACCTTCTCTGGTATTCTCCAAAATCCAAGATGCCCACATCCTGTGAATGCAATTTTTTAAAAATTGTTTTCATGTTACATTGAAGGGTGGGTAAAGGTTGATCAAACTAAGTTAATGGATGTTTTTGGAGCAGAGCTGCCTGTTTTAAAGAACGAAGGGGAAAGCACCAGTTATGTTATCACTTATCATAGGAGCCAGGATAGGAAGTAATAAAGCATTAAATTTTTATCATCACTCTTTTATTAATATCACTTTTTTTTCTTTTCTGACCTGTACAGGAGTTTAACTTTTGTTAAAATTATTTCCAACATCATTTTTGCTTCCAGGAAAATAATCAAATACTAGTTCTCTGTTCATGGCATAAACAGGAGTTTTTTTTTTGAAAATGAAATTTAAAAAGTCTGTTACATGAAAAAAAATGTAAAATGCTATCAACTATATTGTCAATTGATGTTACTCCCATAACATTCACTGGAACACTCATCTTGTTGTGACACAGTCTGAATCTTAGCTCTATCGTTCACATTCGTTCTGTGTCGAACTTTTAACCCCACACCTGGAGGTTCTATGGAAGAGAGAGAAAATATTATTTGAGGAATCCAACTGAAAATTTCGGGGTCAACCTCTTGAATACTGGATTTTATTAAGGGACCCATCTGTCAGATTGAAACCACATGCTGTTGGCCTGGGGATTTCTTTAACAATGCCACGTGGAAGAAACCTGCAAATGTAATTTACAGCTTTCTAACTTGTCAAATCCATAAAACACATCTGTTCTGTCAGTTTTATTGCCCTTCTTAATTATAGTGAAAAAGCATGAACAAGAAAATTAAGCTGTTGTGCAATGTGTAGCTAGTTACTGCCATTCCTTTGGGGAGTTGTTCTCTATTTGTTTGTGTAAAGCTGATTTTCTGACGAGACGCAAGAAAAATTATCATTGATTTATCCAACATGGATCATTCAAGCCATCATCTCTGTGCTTTTCTCATAGACTTGAAAATATATCTTCAGTTTTCTTTTGAAAGTTATTAATGAATCTGCTTCACTACAATCTCAGATTTTCCAATTTGTCTCCTATGTGCCATAGGACAGTGTATTTGCCTGGAAGCAGCCTTCAAGGGGCAGATGGAGTAAGAGAGCTCAGTTAGTACACCAGGTAAACTGAAAAGCCCACTCTGTTTGTCTGGTATTGGTAGCAGCCACAGGCTTCTCTGGGCAGAGCTATCTGCTGTCCACATTGGTGTCCCACCTCAAAAGCTATTATTTACTTAGTATTGATGCCAAGGGCTTCACCTCACCTTTGGAGTTCAGTTCTTTTGTCCTTGTTCAAGACAAGAATGATAATGAATGGCTTTAGTGGGGCATAAATTGAACATCTGTGAACAGGTTATTACTGAGAAAATGCTGCCTGATAGCACTGTCAATGACTCCTTCCATCACTTTGCCAATGATTGAGAGCATACTCTTGGGGTGATAATTGGCCAAATTAGGTATTTGTGAACAGGATATGCCTGGGCAAATTTACATGCTCCCTGTAGATTTCAGTGTTGTACCTGTGATGGAACAGTTTGGCTAAGGTTATGGCTTGTCTTCAAGTATGAGTCTTGAGTATTATTATGACAGTGTTGTCAAGGCCCATAACCTTTGCAGTATTCAGCGCCTTCACCTATGTGCACAGATTATTGAAGGTGGCAGGACAAATAGAGACGGTAGATGATAAAGCAAACATTGTCCTCGACTTTGTTAATAGAACATAGAGTACAAGAACAAGAAGGTGATATTGAATTTGCATTACACACCTGATAGATTTCAGTTGGAGTATTGTGTACTGTTTTGGTGCCACATTATACAAAAGATGTGAATGTATTGGTGAGAATACAGAAGTGATTTACAAAAGAGGAATGAGAAACTTCAGTTAGGATGAGAGATTGCAAAAGCTTGGACTGTTCTCCTTGGAGAAATGAAGGCTGAGAGGAAATTTGACAATTTGAAAATCATGAGAAGCCTGGATAGAGTAAATAGGGAGAAGCTATTCCTGCTCGTAAAAGGAATAAGAATGAGAGGGTATAGATTTCAAATGATGTGCAAAAGAAGCAAAGGTGATAGGAGAAAAATCTTTTTCACTCAGAGATTATTTAGGGTATGGATGCACTACCACGAAATGTGGCACAGGTAGGTTCAGTTGATGTATTCAAGAGGGCCTGAGTGATTATTTCAATAGAAGTAGAGTGCAAGGGCCTTGGACAAAAGAAGGAGACTTTACCTGGCACTATGTCATGATGCTTGTTTGAAGAGCTGCTGCAGGCACAATGAGCCAAATGTCCTCCTTCTACACTGTAACAGTTCTGTGATCTGCCAGTTTAGCAATTGCTTAGCTCTGTCTCTCACATGCTGTTTCCACTGTTTGCCATCCAGGTAGCCCTGCCTGGTAGCTTTATCAGGTTCACACCTTTTTATTTTTTGTCAATGCTGCTAGTAGCATGCCCTTCTGCACAATTCTTTAAGGTTAATGATGATATGGAAGGCCACAAAGTTATAGATTATGTTTGAGTTTGCTTGATTAGTCTTTGAGATAGCCCTCCCAGTTTTGGCACAAACCCCTAGATAGTAGTGAGGAGGATTTTGCAGCATCATCAGGGCTGGGTTTCTAGTGCCTAGATATTGGATGGGCTGTCTGGATTCATTCCTTTTATTAGACTTGGCTTGTTGTATTTCTGTGTATTAAAGGTAGCAGCAACAATGAAAAAATTCAACACACATCGAAAAGTAGCTAATTTGGACAAGCATGAATTCAGAAGACTGCCTTTACTAATTGTCAGAGTGTTAAACCAAGGCCACATCTGCCTTTTGCATCAATTTAAACACACATTGAAGATCCACGGTACACTTTAGGGAAGAGCAAGAAGTTCCTGTCACTTTCCTGACCAATATTTTTTGCTCAATAAACACAGATTAAATGTAGATTAACTGCATAGTCATCTCCTTTACCATTGGAATGATCTTGTTGTGCACAACATTACAATAATTGAGACAACACGGTATGGAGCTGGATGAACACAGCAGGCCAGGCAGCATCAGAGGAGCAGGAAAGTTGACTTTTCGAGTCAGGACCTGAAACATCAACTTTCCTGCTCCTCTGATGCTACCTGGCCTGCTGTGTTCCTCCAGCTCCATACTGTGTTGTCTCTGACTCCAGCATCTGCAGTTCTTGCTATCTCTCATTACAATAATTGAACTCTCTTTGTAATTTATGGGAAAAAACACAATGTCAAATGCTCATACACAGGAAATTGACAATAAAATTTGTTTCAAGCATATTCCTTAAGAAAAACAAGAATTGCTGAGCAAAGCAACCATTTGCATGTATCATATTAAATAATTTATAGTTAGGAATTTTTAAAAGGTGTTCATAGAAATATGTGAATGTGGTAATTTTATCCTTGCTGAGAGATGACAGATTCGTACATTGTGTAAGATCAGGTCTCTTCTCAAATGCACTGAAATAATTTGTGACATCATGCAGTTTATTGGCCTGTCTGACGCACATTGTTTTCACCTTATAGATGACAGAGGGCAGACACTGTCAGGTGAATCTCCTCGATGGCAGAAAACTAGAACTACTGGTTCAGGTAAGGTCTGACAAGTAGCAATATAACAGACAGATTAGCTACTAATTCAGTATAAGTATCATCAATTTTAATGAAATTCTAAATAAATTATTTAATTATTTGATTCATTCTGTAATCAAGAATATACATCTGTAATCAGGACTGTTGCAAATTAGATATAATGACCAAAAAGTAGAATAGGGGATAGTAGTTGAAAGCAGTCAAAGGATTCAAATGGATTCATAAGAACTACGAGCATGCGAAGGCAGTTCAGTCCCTCGAGTCTGTTCTGCCATGTGATACAATCATGTCTGATCTAATCTGACACTTGGCTGGAGATGAGAAGGGCACTACCTGTGACTACCTTCCATATATGCTCAGACTCTCTGTGCGACCGCTCACTGCCCCCAAAGCAGCTGTGGGGAGGAGTAGAAACTACCAGACATCTCCTGCCTATGCAGAGGAAGTCTGGAGAGAGATGCAGTGGTTTTTGTCGAGATTCATCTTGAGCAGCTCCATGACGCAGGATTCTGTGCTCTACGGTCTGGTCCCCAGGACGCACACTAAGACAAACATTGACTGTGCCTAGAGGGCCATCAACTAAACGAAAAACACTCTTTAATCTGCCTAAAACTTGCTGGTCTTCCAGGGCAAGGAGTTGACCTTGACCAAGTGTTGCAGACTAGCACATTCCAAGGTCCAGGACTACGTGCTGGGCGGCACGCTAAAGTTTGGGACAGGTGCTGCCAAGGTGCAGTGGGGAAAGACCAACATCTAATGTCTTTCTGACAAAGTTAAATGGGGGCTCGTTCAGTTACCGGACCTTCCCACTGCCTCAAATGTATATAAGTATAGTCATGAACAAGTAAGAAATGCCTTTGGTTTGTGTGCTGGATAGAGTCAAACTCAAGTATTTGTTTATTTCTTCATATGCTACTGTACAGAATCAAACTGCTTCAGTGACTATGTTTGTATATAAAGATATTTTTATGAATAAAGTATATTTTTGAAATTTAAAAAAATGTCTAATCTAATCTCAGTTTCAACTACACTTTCCTTCCCACCCTCCATAACCCTTCAACCCATTACTATTAAAAAATCTGTCTATCTCCTCCTTAAATTTATTCAATGCCCCAGCATCCACCACGTTCTAGGATTGTGAATTTCACAGAACCATGACCCTCTGAGAGAAATAATTTCTCCTCATCTGTTTTAAATCTACTACCTCTTATCCTCAAACTATGACCTGTGATCCACAACAGAGAAGCAGAAATTCTTCTTTAATATTTCTTTGCAATTTAAAGATTACATGATGACCTGAAAACTATTCAAACATTTTTATATTGCTCTGCAATGCAGTTCACTTTTATTTATAAAATATTTAAATGTTGAATGTCAAACAACTGACTAAGATGCATTTGTTCCTTAGGTCCTTAGGTTAAGTGTGATATCATGATAAATAATCCTTATTTGGAAGCAAATTATCAACCCAAGAGATGGGGAATAGAAGTTTTCCTTTTCCTCAAGTTCCTAGACTAATCATGACATTGTGACTCTGGTAGATTGCATTTAACATTCAATGTAAATCTTGTTTCTCTAAAAATATAATTTATTCAAAAATGTGCGAAGGTGCAGTACACAAAAGCTCAAATTTTGTATTGCATGAAATGCCATACAGTTCAATTCCTTACAATGCAAGACCTGAGGTGCCTCACTGCACAGACACTTAGAGGTTATATTTACAATGTACATTTATATTTCATGCTAAATGTACATGCTATATTTCATACCAGCAACACAGTGGCTCAGTGGTTAGCACTGCTAACTCACAGCACCAGGGACTCCGGTTCGTTTCCACCCTCGGGTGGCTGTCTGTTTGGAGTTTGCACATTTTCCCCATGTCTGCATGGGGTTCCTCTGGGTGCTCTGGTTTCCTCCCACAGACCAAAGATGTGCAGGTTAGATGGATTGGCCGTGCTAAACTGTCCATAGTATATTGATATATTGTGAATTGATATAGTATATATTGATGATAGTATAAGGTAGGGGTGGAGGTTAGATAGACCTTAGTTTTAGGGTAAAAGTTCGGCACAACATGGTGGGCCGAAGGGCCTGTACTGTGCTGTACTGTTCTATGTTCTATGTATCTAGTAATGTGTCGGCTAGGTGGATTAGCTATGGGAAATGCAGGGTTACAGGGATAGGATTGGGAGTGTGTCTGGGTGAGATGCTATTCGGGGGGTCAGTGTGGACTCAATAGGCTGAATGGCCTGCTTTCACACTGTAGGAATTCTATGATTCTAAACATTTGCGGATGCATACAGCCGTAGGGATATTACACCGCTTTCAGCTCCTCTTTGATAAGTTGGGAGGAGGGCTGCCTTGGCCTTTCCCCATTGAGTTTTTTGTGGTAGCTGCTGCAAGCTTTAATGCATCTTTCAGCGCAGAGCCTTGGACTTTGTTGTGCCCTCCTCTAATAAATACCAAGTGTAAGACAGATGGGTCAAGTTTATGAATGCATTGTATGCTATTTTAACTCGAGATCTCAAACTGCCATTACTTAATTTTAACAAGAGCAAATCAAAACAGTGTGCTTGCTCAGAAGAAGGCTGTGGAAAAGCCACATTACATCATCAGATAAGTCTAACTAGGCTAAATACCATTTTGCAGGGGCCAGTTAGTGAACAGCTTGGATGAAGGCTCATCTGCACATTTGTACATCCGCCTTCTTGTTAGGAAAATAGCACGGATAGACAGAATGTGAGATAGCAGAGAGAAGATAGTGGCACTTACCCTGGCAGAGCAGAGAAGCTCATTGACTTTTTCCCTGTACTGCAAAACGTTCTTCTGCATTGAGGAGACCTCAATAGCTGTGGTGACGACCTTGGCCCAGGTAGTCAGGTGTCATGGCCTCCTCTGCCAATCCTGAAGAGCACATCCCTCCTCTGCACCAGCCCATGCACCAGGACATTTAGGTCCCTTTCCACACAGTGGGTGCCACAATTTCCCTTTGCCTGCCTCGTCCAGGGTGAATGTCATTCACGATACAGGAAAGCTTCAGAATGTCAGCTGAACAATAGCCTTTTAAGATGGCACAGACACCAGGGATGCCATTTCATTCTGGGATATCCGGTGAGTTGCAAGTTCTTGTGCATACATGAAGATGGTAGAATTAGACTAATGTTGGAGGAGAGGAGCACCACGGGTGTGTGGTTAATTGGGATGATGTGATGAGAAGTGTCACCAGGTGTCACAGACAGAAACCCTCAATGAAACACAACAAAATTGCCATTTAGATGAAATATGATAGATAAATTGCAACTGGTGCAAAAGGAGACTGAACTTCCTTCAACAGAATAAACATTTGATAAAAGAGAGCAAATTGAGAGTTGGGGAGGCAATGGCCTAGTGGTGTTATTATTAATCCGGAGACCCAGATCTGGGGATCCTGTATGCAGATGGTGGCATTTGAATTTAATAAACAAAAAAGGAATTAAGAGTCTATTGATGACTATGAAACCATTGTCAATTGTTAGAAAAAGCCATCTGGTTCACTAATGTCCTTTAGGGAAGGAAACTGTTGCCCTTACCTGGTCTGGCCTACATGTAACTCCAGACCCACAGCAATGTGGGTGACTCTTAACAGCCCTCTGGGCAATAAATGCTGACCTAGCTAGTGACGCCTGCATCTCATGAATGAATTTAAAAAATTATGTAATATTAATAGAATTGATTATTGTGTCGACCCGTGAAATTTGAAATGTTTTATTACTTCACAGTTGGTGTATATATGGACTTATTTCAGATTCATAACATTTACTAAGTCATTAAGAGAGCTGGGAAACTTTGGTAGATGTGCATAAATGAAATAACAGAAATTGTCTGCCTGTTATTTCTGGCTCGGGAGTAATAATCACTTGTTAAGAAAGGTTTCAACAAGTTTGTATAGCCAAGGTCTGTAGACACTCTTTTATTCACCAGTGCCTAACATTATTGGATCAGCAGTGGGGGTCCTGGCCACTCACTAGTGTCAGCAAGAAACCCATGAGCCCACTTTCAAGGAAGACCAGCCAATGATATCTGCCAGGCCAGCGCCAGACCTCCTCCCAAGGTTGGGAGTTCTTTTAAATGGCAGCATACCCAGTACCAATTAAGACCCTTAAGTGGTTAATTGGTAACCTCATAATCACTCTCAACTGTAACCACTACAATTAACTTTATTCCTGGTGGGCAAGAACACTGGGCAGCCTTCCCAATCAGTACAGTGGAGTGGCCTGCTGCAGCTTTGACCATGCCCTTGATTTGCCCCAAACTGGGATAGCAATTAAAAGCCAGCTCCTCCTTTGCTTCAGAACCCCTCTCCCCACAACCTATGCTACAACCCCCAGCTACCCTCCGAGAAGGTACTTCCTGTGCCCTATTCTGCCTTGATATCCCGCGTACTTTACCACCAGCACCTGCAAGCTCTGATGTGTGTCTTGGCCTGTCTGAAGCTGCCAGCCTGGGATTGGCTGACAGTATTAGGTGGGTTGGGATAACTCTGTCCCAGGAAGTGATGCCAGTGGAAAGCCTACAGGATACCTACTCTGGTGCCCGTTGGGCACAAGATTCACTGAGCTTTTCCATGCAAGGTCATAGTGAGAGTTCCCATGCATTTTATATCAAACACAACACTTAGATCAAAAAGGAAAGGTTTTCAGCCTCTTTTTCTCCACATTATTGAGCCTGGTCTTCTGATTTCTTATTCTTATTTTAAGCATCTGCAGTGTTTTGCTTTTGTTTTTCTGTTTTCTGTTAATTAGTCAATCATCTACTGATGCTAATATGTTAATAACAGGGAGACCAATTCATGGGCAGTCACTCAAGGGACATCTTGACATCTGACCAGGAGTGCTGTAAGGTGCAGCCATAGCAGTAACATCCAGCACGATGGGGGTTGCACAGGGTGGGATGTGGTTGCTGTTCTGTACCTGGAATGTACATGTGTACAGAACTGGTGTGCATGCACACTAAGCCAAATAACAGGATGTTAGGTATCCAACAGGATGTGTTAACTTAGATCATGGGCCTCAAATACAGGACAGCCCCAGAAAGTCAGGGTTGGTCACCCTGAATACCAGCAAGATGAGCCCTTGTGCTTTCCCTTTCTGTTGAAATGCCTTTGGAAATCCAAATATGTTGTATCAATTGGGTCCTTTTTATCCAGTCTGCTTGTTAGATCTTTAAGGATCTCCCATATATTTGTCAAACACAATTCCCCTTCATAAACCACCTGGACTCTGCTGCCTTTTAATATGATGATTTTTTAAAGATTCTGCTATTACTTCCTTGATAATGGATTCTAGCATTTCCCAATGACAAATATTAGGCTAACTGACCAACTGGTTTCTGTCTTACTGTCTCCCTCCTTTCTTGAATAGAGGTGTAATACTTGCAGCTTTCAAATCTGCTGGAACCTTTTTAGAAGAAAAACCCTAGGATATAGGCCATCAGGTTCAGAAGACTTACTACTTTTTTCTTTAGAGATAGTGATTGTTTGAAGTTCCTCTTGCCCTTTTTCCCTTTAATTTTCTACGATTCTTGAGATGTTCTTCTACTTTGAAGACAGATACAAACTACTAATTGAAAATCTCTGCCATTTCATATCTCTCCAATCTCATTATAATATTCCTCTAAATTAGCAGGCAGCACAAAGTTTGTGTGCTACCTGCTTCTCAAGCAGCAGGTGTAGTTGGTCATACATTGCAGTCCCATGTCTTGTTCTAGGCCTTCTCCAATTTCTAAGCCACTTCCAGCTTGAAATGTGTTTGGAAGCATCATTGCAAAAACTAACAGACAAGAGTATAGTGTGATCTCATGGTGTGATAGACTATACATTGCCTCCAAAATTAAACACACAAAATGGGGAAGGCCATGTCAGCCCATCCCAGCTAATCTGTTAGTTTAATGTTTCCAGGATTTTTACCTTCTTATGTTACACTCTGAAATCTACTTCTCATGTTGGCAAAGGTTGATACTAAAATATGATCCAAAAATGAGTGTTGAAATATTCTTTCAATAAAATTAAAGAATAAAATGGGAGCAAAAACATAAAAGGAAACCTATAATTTTCTGAAAGTACGCTCTGTGGAAGATATATGAAGGAGGAACTGTGCTCTTTGTGGAGTTGTGATAATGACAATTGTACGTTACAAATTGTATAATTGGCTACAGTCTGCACATTTTACGAAGTAATATTATTATTAATTTTCAATATTTTGTAGCCGAAGCTTTTGTCTCGGGAGCTGTTGGATCTGGTGGCGTCTCATTTTAACCTCAAAGAGAAGGAATATTTTGGAATAACATTTATTGATGATACGTGAGTAAACCATTCTAACTCGTAAAGTGGCGCACTACAACATGTAGAAATGGTGGCACATCACTGATATGACCATGCTTTGCACTTTAGTACAGTTTGCTGCTGGAAATAATTTAGGAGGAAACTTGGGGCAAATAACCAAAGATCCTGATAATCTTTCCAGGAATAAATATCATGATTAAATGGGAAATATTATGAGCTAAGTTTGGAAATGAATCCATTCAAATACTGAATTTAATACAAATAGTATTGTTGTTTGAAACAGGGTAGCCTGCTTTGGGGCACGAGAAACAATATATTTTTTTCATTGGCAACACTGCAAGCTGTGCCAAACTGTCAAGGAACAATGGCATGCTCAACTTGGAACAAGTACTAATAAAAGACAGACTATCTTCTAATCTTATCACCAAATTCATGAAAGGTTGTCACATATAATACAGCTAAAAATATACTTCGCTTCTGCTGAGTTATACCTCAAGCAGTCAGTTGTTTGTACATTTAAGTGGATTAACTAAAAATATTCTTCGTCTCTGCTGAGTTCTACTTAATCCCATCTGTTTTTTGTGCATTTGATTACGAACATTAACTTGGTATGCTAATAGTGTAGCTGTGGGCTGGATTTTCTGAGATGCGGCAATCTCTTGCAAATTGATGTTCCTCTTCTTTCTACAAAACATAGGGATCCGCATTTCAGACAGAAGATTCCAATCAGGGCTGCTTCAGAAATGAAGAATTGTAGTTCCATTCTGACAGCTCCCTCATAGCGTAGAATAGTTAGCGGAAAGCAAACCACACCTCATTTTCACAGCAGTCAGCTGCCACATTCTATAATGTAATGGTCAAGCCTCACAGACAGCCACATTTCACAGCTGCAATGAAAGGGTAAGTGCATAAGGTAAAACAAAACAACTGTGGATGCTGGAGATCATAAGCAAACAAAAACAGAAATTGCTGGAGAAACTCAGCAAGTCTGGCGGCATCTGAAGTGAAAACAGTGTTAACATTTCAAGTTCAGTCACCCTTCTTTAGAACATAAGTGCGTAAAGTAATTGTGAGGTCCTGGGGGTGTCAGGGTCTGTTAGGTACGGAGTTGGAGAGAGGATCAGGTTCAGTGTTAGGGGAAGGGAAGAGTTCAGTCCTTGGGGCTCAGGGCAGGTTGTCAGGTCCGGAGCTGGATAAAGGCTTTCTCTGGGGGTAGGTGGACCATATCTGGTGACTATAGAAAGGGGGTCAGGTTTTGTTGGCTAGGGGTAGTAAGTGGCAGGGAAAGTGGTCAGATCTAAGGGTGACAGGAGTTCTGGTGGCAGGGAAGTCTCAGACCCGATGGGTAAGGGGTAAGTGTCAGGTCGTGAAGGGAGAGGAGGTGTCAGGACAGGCCGCGGGGGAGCTGTTTTTTGGGGATGTATGTCGTAAGGTAGGGTTCAGTTGGATAGTCAGGAGCTAGACTAGGTATTCAAGAGTCTAAGGTTTCCTGAGTAACTATGTACTTAACTGCACTGGAAGCCTCCAACTTCTCCAATTTATATGTAATTGGCCTGTAGAATCTTCAATTTCCCCAGGCAATCCCAACCTCCCATCTATGCTTCAGAAACAATTACTTGGCCCCATCAAAAAATCAAGACAATCTTATTTTACTTCTGGCATGCAGCAAACAGTTTTAGGGGAGATAGTGGTACAGTGACAATGTGACTGGACTAGTCATCTAGAGGCTCAGGCTAAAGTTCTGGGGTCATGGGTTCAAATCCCAATCCAATAGCTGGTGGAATCTAAAGTTCAATTAATTAATGAGCAAAACGCTGGAATTGTAAGCCAGTCTTGGGAGTGATGGTCATGAAACAATCATCCGTTGTTGGAAAACCCTTTTGGTTCACAAATGTCCATTAGGAAGGAAATCCATCTTCCTCATCTGTTTTGTCCTGCAAGTGACTCCAGACTCACAGCAATGTGGTTGACTCTTAACTGCCCCTGAAATGGCCGGGCAAGCCATTGAGTTATACCAAACTGCTAGAGAGAAGTCAGACTGTGGCAATTTACAAAGATGGTTCACTGCCAACTCCTCAACAGCAATTCGGGATGGGCAGCAAATGCTGGTCTTGGCAGCAATGCACACATCCCATGAAAGAATGAAAACAAAATATTTTGGCACATTATTTAAATCAGACTCCGGGTATACTTTTAATATTGAAACAGCTTTGGCATTATTTCCTATGTTCCAATACCTCAGATTATCATCAAAATTAGGTTTAATTAAAACATGACCATTTATACATTAGGGAGAATGGAGTTTTCATCAAACAAAACGATGACTGAACACACCTCTGGAACAATTGCTACCTTGAGACCATTTTTAACTACAAGTCAACTATGTAAAGATTGGTGCACGTGCAACTGTTAACAATAGCCTCAAAGCTATATGAATTTGTAATCAGTGTGAGTACCAAAGAAAGTGGTGCCTGAATTGAAACAGCAAAGTTTTGAAGCTGATGGTTAAAATTTGTAACATTTGTGAATTTAATGTTTATTTTTTAAAAAGCCTATTGTTGCAGTATATTTTCTAGCTGTTATTTTGACAAAATTTAGTTTCTGAAGTGGCACTCCGCTTCATATGTTAGATTGTACGAACAATAAAATCACACTAACATTTTTGTGTTATAGGGTTTCACTGCCCTGTGTCTTGAGATAATGAGACACAGTCAATACCATCACTTTTCACGAACGGTAACAATATAGCGCTAAGTCCTGGCAGATTGGACATTAGGGTACTTCAATTTAGTGTATTTGCAGTGTACACCCTCTTTTATGTTAGTACCATAGGAGGTCACCAGACCAACACATTTAAATTTGAACAGAACTCCAGAAAACTGTGTAGAATAATTCACTGGAAAACTTATAAGACTCTCCTTTGAAATTAGTTGCTTGATACTTAATGGTATTTTAAATGTTTAATTGTTAATGATGTTATAAAGAATAAATCTAAACTTCACATTTGTCGTCCTGCAAGAGTCAATTAGTCTACTGTAATAGAAGACTGGGATGATCTACTGGAGTACCCCCATCCACACATCCCAATGGTCCTCAATTCATGTATCAACCAAGACTATAACTTTGTTGTTCCCAAGTGTGAGACAATACGTCACTTTTCAAACAGCTATTAGTTTGAGGATTCATTCACATTCAACCAAAAAATAACCAAGATATATGATTCCACAATGGTTCGAACTGGAACTGGCACTGTGGGAAAGCTTGGAATTCTACACGCCCATTTCTCTCAATAGTTGAAGTGAAAAGCTCAGCAAGGGAGGTTTACAATATGGAACCAAGTAGGGGGAAGAAAACAGGATGCAAGTAAGGCTGTGTCCAGTGTTAACAATGTACAGTCCAATATCTTGCACAACATCTTGATCTTAGAAATGCCAAGCCTCTGAT